GACCAGCAGGGCCTCCTGATTCCCCTGCTCATCCCCTCGCACGTGGCTCTCTGGAAGCTCTTCTTTCTCCGCTGGGTCCCTGAAGCCTGCATTCCCAGAGGGGGCTCCATCACTGCCTACCGCCAGCTCTCCCAACTGGTCGATGAAATTGAGACACTGCAGAGTCAGCTCAGGCAGTATAAGGGACCCAGTCCGGGCAGCACGCCACTCCCCAGCCCTCATGGGCCCCCTTTAAACCAAAGGAGGATGTATTTTAAGGCCAGTCCGCAGAACGACCCCCCTACACCTCCAGACTTCCTTAACTCCTCCTTCCCTTTCACCCCAGTGGGAAATCTGTGCCGCCGCAGTATCCATGGGACTCCCATTAGCAAATTTCTGAACGGGGCGAGGATCTGGCTTTCAACAGAGACTCTTTCTAATGACACTGTCTGAGGATGTGCGGCTTTTAGGCTCACTTTTCTGTCCAGGTCTGTTTAACAACTGATCACCTTATTTTCTATGACCTCTTTCATAAATACCAAGAATGAAAATAAGCATTAGAGGAAATGTAACTTTGAACTTCTGATTATTTATAAGCTAGAATTGGCACCATTGATGCTGCATCCAAATCTGAGGTAATTTCTAAACTGAAGTGTCATCAATCATTGTTCTCCATTACAGCTGAGGAATTCCGATTCACTAGTGCACCCCCTTAACTGGCCAGTGAGTTGTTACTGTGAGGTGTCCTCTGACTGTGAAAGATCATCTTTTTTAATGTATATTCTTGTCCACTGCTTATCTTATGTGCTGAGTGTACTTCAGGATCCACAGGAGCATCGCTTTTAGAAACTTTAAATTTTGAGTTAAGATGAGGCTGAGAACTTCCTTTTCCAAGATTTACCTGTGATTCACTGCTTGCACAACAGTAATGAATTCAGTGAAGTTGGTCCTTCGTTGAATTCTCATTGGACAGTAAGACCTCTCCACTGTAATGGAATAATGATACTTGAAATTAGAAAGTCCTCCTTTTTATGCAGCAGCAATCATGCGTTCACTGAACACTGATTTGTTAAAACTGCCTTCCAGGAAAATTTAATTGAAGATGTAATGTTTTACCTGGTCAGAAAGAGGAACAGAAAATAACACTGCTAATAACTACTCAACTATATGGAAGAGGGTCTGGTCTGGTTGAATGTAATGGGGCTGTTGTTGTTTTTTCCACAAACTTAATGCTATTTGCTCCAGGTGCCCATATTGTAGTGGTTTTGTTTGGCGTAAGTAGCTAATTGTGTGATTTCAGGGTCTTACATTGCAGATGTACTCTATTTTTGAAGCAGAGAAAGGGGCCTATATTTTTAGTGTCAGGATACAGATGATACTGAGCTTAAAGTGCTTTTTTTTGAGGACTTAAATCTGTGGTAGATATTTCCTTTTCTCCTTAGAAGGTTTTTTTTTTAAACTTTACTAGAAGCCTTCTGGTAAGGCACTGAGGAGAAACCTCTGATTATTAGGAGCTAAATGGGTAAATATTTGAAAGCAAAGGGACAGATAAGGGCTTTGACTCAAACCAGTCCCTAGTTAAATGGGTAGTGAATTGAATTTCAGGCACTGAAGTCACTGATCCAATGAACACAACAACAATGGGTGGATGACAAGTGATGCTGTTTCTAGGCAGCACATGAAAAACATTAGCATCAAATCATCTGGATAGTAAGTGTAATAACTGCACTGTGTGTAGTTTTGACATTTCCAAATGAAACGGCAGTTAGGTCCGTTTTCTATATTCAAGACAACCTGCACAGTGTTTCTATGGAGTGAAAAACCTTGACAGCAATAACTGCATACACTGTTAAATATACTGTTTATCTGGCTTAACAATAGTTTTGTACAAATATGAATTCTTTTTCTAATTTTCCTTAGTAGCGCTGCTTTGCGTGGAGTAATGATTAATCAGAAAACACAGTGACGTTACTGTACTTCCAGTCAGGATGGTGAGAGTGAGTTTGGTTCACGCTCCAGGGTAATACTGATGCAATTAGGGACATTTCATGAGAGCTACACTTCCACTGTGCTACAGATTTTTTTTGCATTTCGAAGTGTCTCCCCGTGAAGTTCACCCGCAGCTGAACAAGGGGCTGGTTTGAGACCACATCTGGGGAAATGGGATCAGTCATCCAGAGCCCCTTTTTAAAAACTGGTAAGGAACTAGCACTGTTTTAATATTTCTAATGTCTTTAAATAACCACAGCTTTTCTGATGGAAGATCTTTGTCATTATCATAATAACACAGATGGAATATCTGTCCAGGAGCCTTGATCCTTTTCATGCTAGTTTCACGTGATATTCAGATGATTCTTTGGCAATAACTAGTTCAGGAGTTTTTTAGCATAGATGTGTATAATGTGAGTGCAGACCTGTTTGTTCTCCTGAATGCTATTCATTGCACATTTAACTCAATATATAGGATAGTTTGTTTAAGGTGGTTTTTGAATATAGTTTTGGCAAATATTATAAATACTGTATATGCTTGAAAAATGTCCAATTAATATTTTGATTAATGGTACTAAATAGCTTTTATCCTTGATTTAGTCTTTATATTTTATGGAGAGATATTTATATACTGTGTTTTTCCACTAATACACAATGTTGCAATCTGCTGTGATTGTATGATGACGGTGTTTCCACCCTGACACAGTTGGATATTGATTAGCAGCAGATGTATTTATTCAGTTATGCAAATGTTTTCTAAGAGGGA